AGTCTACACATAAATATTCTTGTATACAAAGATACATAGATACATATATGGTGTATTATTATAACTATATCATATATGCTTACAGAACTACGAACAAACACACACGCACACATATAAATACATACTCCCATATATAGAATATTCATATAAATACCTAAATATACATACATAACCACACACACACACACACATACAGATATATATATATACGTATACAATATTCATATTTATATATACATACATAAAAACACACAGAAATATATATATTTACATAATATATATATATATGTATATACACAGAAATATATGTATATATATCCATATTTACACCAAATATGTATGTAATATATATATATATATATGTAGATATTTATATATATGGGTTTGAATGCATATATGTATATGATGTATGTATGTATATATATAGTTATTAATGTATATCGAAAAGACTATACGACTATGTATTCGAGTTCGCCATTATTTGCGTCCACCAGGGTTAGGTACCCGAACATGTAGATGTACACATTTATATTGTCAACAATGGCGTCTAAAAGTACTTTAATGCTGTCGCCTGTCGGACATGTTTCACAGTTGGAAATACTGATACATAGTTCAGGAGAAAGGGCGTCTCTAACAACGCGCACCTGTTCTGTTTACTCAGCGTTCTGCGCGGTGAGATTTTGGTTTGCTGAATATCTCACAAGTCTCGATAACTATGGGAGTTTATTACAAGTTCTACATGCCGATGCGTACTCTTGTGTAGCCAAGACAATGCCTGCATAAATCAGACTAGGTCTGTATTGTGTACCGTGACCGCAGATACAATAAAGCGCCAAACTCAAATCCAAGAAGGGAACACCCGCTGTACTATAGGTCACATGCGACAAGATGCGTTAAGTAGCTAGTCTTGTCAACCTTTTAAGAGTAAACACTGGACCACTCTGTGGTGCAAGAATATCCCATCCTCAAATGCTCAAACAGAATCCCGATGATCATTATTAATTCATCATGATGCGTCCATATAATAAATCAACACATATTTAACTGTTTTTAGTCATAGCCTTCTGAAATATACATTTTATTTGTGCAAATCTTCTTCAAAAACAAATACCGATGGGGGCCTGGGGCCTGGGGCCCTATAGTCATAGGTTGTGGCCTTGGGCTGCTGGCAAAAAGAAAAGCATTCTATTTATTACATAAATGCTATTACGTATTTAAAATACTCTCACTCTCCCTCGCCTCTCGCGGAGATAAGAGTATAGAAAAGTCTGAAACTCGTACGTCTCGTAGACGCCAGCAGCCCAGCACTCCAGCAGTCGCCACACCACGCGTTCTTTACTCCTCCAGTAGGCTCTATGTACTATGTACAAAATTTGAATATTTTTAGTATAAAAAAAAGATTAAATTATATCCAAATTTAGATATTATTGCTCATTTGATTTTTGTCTGCCATATTTGGTATATAAACCCATTTTTGCTAATTGTTATTTGTTTGAATCAATGACTCTAAATAGCATTTTTTGAAATGCAATTATGTACTTACTCACAAATTAGTTGCGTACTTCGCAATTTATAGCTCACTCTTGTATTTAGTATTTTTACCAATTTTTTAAAGTACGAAGACCCTGTGCTTTTTTATACAGTAGTAGGGCTTCAATATGTCGTGTTTCATAATACATACAATACAATATAATGTTTTTAATTGGCTCCTTTTGAAAAAAACAATGAAATGTAAAAATATAGAGGGTGCCACAATACTCGAATTCACAATAGTGATCTCGAATTCTCGATCCTAAATAAAAATCGGTATAAACAAAAGCATAATATGGGTAAATATATTGAAAGTTTAAAACTTTTTCATGTGATGAATTATGGATTTAATGGATTCATTGTTCGACTGGTCGGGGATTTCGGGGTCCAGGGGCGAGGGACTTGGAATATTGTTGACTATTGTATTTTCAAAATAGGGAGGAAAATATCAGAGCCTTCTAAATGGACAATGGCTATGAAAATATGTATACTTAACTGCACAACTTTGGGTTAACCGCTTCAGTTCGTTAGACTCTGTTTCAATTCAAACAAAGAACCATGTCTACTCTAAATCCCGATTCCACCTCTGTATTGCTGCCGCCTACCAGCAGCGCATACTTCATCGCTGATGCCCCTGAGAATATGGGACAGAATGTTGCGGCCCATGAGTCCACCCGCACTGGACACATGGTAAAGCTTAACATTTACAGTGAGCCCGATGATGTCCGTCGCACGTCAATCATCTGTACAATCGGCCCAAAGACGGGTGCCGTTGACAAGCTAACCGAGCTGCGTCGTGCCGGTATGAACGTTATGCGCCTGAACTTTTCTCACGGATCATACGAATTCCACGGAGGTCTTATCAAAAACCTTCGCGAGTCTTGTGCCAAACTTGCCGGACCTCCAGTGGCCATTGCTTTGGACACTAAGGGACCCGAGATCCGCACTGGTATCTTAAAGGACGGAGACGTATGTACTTTGAGTGAAATAGATTTGAGAACCTTATTGTCATTTTGGAAGTGTCTTTGTGGAAATCGTTCGGAATGTTTTAGTAATGGTATTTATTTGTGTCTGCATAAGCTAGTAGTTATCATGGATCTTGACGAGAAAGGCGACACTTATTTGTGTACTGCATAAGCACGTAGTCGTCATCGGTCTTGAAAGGCATCGGGTTTCAATCGCGCTCGATTGTTGGCATCAGTGTTGGTATCGCTTGAACCGATTCCTTGTCAATCGCGCTCGATTATTGGCATCAGTGTTAGTATCGCATAGACTGATTTCTAGTCCCTTCAATCCTTTTCAGTACACTGTCAAGACCGGCGACGTTATCGAGTTCATGTGTGGCAATGAAGAGTACTTGGAAAAGGGAACACCTGAGCGACAATATGTCGACTACAAAAACTTCGGCAAGGTTGTAAAGGAGGGAGATATCGTGTACATTGACGATGGATTGCTGTCATTCGTTGTCGTTGAGACTGGCGCAGACACCGTGAAGATCAAAGCGCAAAATTCTGGTCTTCTAGGTTCACGTAAGGGTTGCAATCTACCCAACGTTGATGTTGATCTTCCAGCTCTGTCTGAGAAGGACAAGTCTGATCTACGATGGGGTGTTTCCCAGAAGGTCGATATGATTTTTGCCTCGTTCATCCGTAAAGCAAGTGATGTAATAGAAATCCGTAAGTGCCTAGGTGAAGACGGTAAGGGCATCTACATTATTGTCAAGATCGAGAATCATGAGGGTATCCGTAACTTTGCCGAAATTCTTGAGCAGACCGATGGTGTCATGGTAGCCCGTGGTGATATGGGTATTGAGGTGCCCCCAGAGA